CTTTGATATAACGATATTTTCTAAAAATTTCATATATGTTCTGATCAGTGTTCGGCAAATGACTTGAAATGACCAAATGATTCAAATGACAAATGACAAATGACATGTTATTTTAATGTTCAAATGACACATGATCTTGGTCATTTGAATGTAATTTTGGCCAGCATTATGATTTTTGCCTACACTACATTCATTATTTTTTAATTATAGTCACATGATTATTTATGTGATAAATATTAGCCAATCAAAATCAAATGATTGAAATGACCAAATGACAAATAATTATGAATAATGACAAATAATTTCATAAATCATTTAAATGGTCAAATGATCAGGTTATTTCTAAACACTGGTTCTGGCATATTGTTATATAAAAGTTTAACTGTACTAAAAATTGAATTTAAATAAATTTTAAAAAATTAATAGTAACTAAATATTATATTACTGATTGGTTAATAGTCACATAATGTATTTGTAGAAAGTATACACTATACAGAATTCATAATTGTAAAATATAGAAGGAATACATTTAGCTTTAAGTCTTAAGCTTAAAATTAAATTGCTATAGAGTATATATACTGTCTCTTATACACATCTTGTCTTATCTATGTATATAAAATATTAAGTTTTTTCTTTTACTTACCACTTAAAAATAACTGACAGATTTGCTTATAAACTTTTTTGTCATATTTAATAAAAGTGAATAGAAAAATGATGGAAAAGTGATGGGCAGTGATGGGGAAAAAGAAGTGGTTATTACCATTATTTTTGAATATTGATTAAAAAAATTTTTTTTATTTTTTATTAAATCTGAGTTACGTAAATATATAATACATATTTAATTTAGATTTGTGTAATATTAATCTTACTAAAATATTAAATTTTTATAAAAATCTTAATTTAGACTAATTCCAAAAATTGGCACATATGCTATAAAAAAAATAATTTTATAAGAGTGGATTCAATCTGATAGTAATCCCTGTTAGTTTAACCAGCATTTGCCAACCTCTAGATATCTCAATAAATAAACCATTTAAAGACAACCTTCACAAAGAGTGGCATATCTGAATGGCAAGTGGTGGTACATTACTGTGGAAAATTTTCGCTATACTAGATTGAATGATATATACTTGCATTGTGAATAAAATGTGTTTGGAATGCAATCGATGATAAAACAGTCATAGAATCTTTCAAGATTTATAAAATTTCAACAGATTTAAATAGATTAAATTTTAAATTGGAAACTATTAGTGATAATGACGATGAAAGTAACGTTTGATGATAATGATGATGATGGAAATAACATTGATAATGAAGGTAGTGATAATGGTAATGATAATAATAGTATCTATGATAGTAATGATAGCGAAGATATTAGTGATAGAATGAGATAATTAACTGTTTAATTTGGTTATGGTTAATATTTTATATTTACATAATGATAATATGTATATTATAATAATGATACAGGTGTTTCATTTTGACATAATTCATTAATAAAAATACATTTTCTGGGACAATTTGAACTTATATTTATTATTAAAAATCTTTTTATTACATTACATTAAGTTTAATACGAAATTAGTTAATATTCAAAATTGTTGTTTATTTCAGATATTAATTATTTTAGATGTTGCTTATTTTTGAAAATTACTTATTTTTGGAGAAATATGGTAATAATGACTATTTCATTTAAACTCTTTAAAGTAATAATTAAATAAATGCTAAATAATCTTTTAAAATAAAGTTAATATTTTAAAAATTATATTGTATATTAATAAAAAACCAATTAATAAATTTAATTCATAATATTTCTTAATTTAATTATATTATACTTTTTATCTAATTCATTTTTAATAATTTTTATTAAATTTTTTAATAAAATTTTTTAATCTAAATATTTATGTCATTAATAAAATTAACATAACTCATAAGTATTTTATTATATTTTAATTCAAATTAATACTTATTAGTTTAGTAAATCGCAAAATCAATGATCTAATACTGAAATTAATTAGTTTAGTTTAGTATGATCAAAGTCTTAAATACAATGAATTCTACTAGCTATTTTTATAAATATTTTCTCAAGCAAAGAAGGAGCTTATCTATTAAAACTATCTAAAATTATCTGAAGATTGCTGGTCTTATAAATGAATTGGATTTTTACTTCTTAAGATATAATGCTGGATGAAATCTATTATAATATCTTTATCAAAGTTTATCCTAACGCTATCCAGGTTTAAAATAGAGAATGAAATATATTTTTCTTTTAGTGATCATATCAGCAAACTAATTGATAATATATTTAGTTAAATTTCAGTTTTCTGAGTATCAGATATTTTGTATATATAAGAAGATAAGTTTGACTATAAGTATTTTGGCTTTGAAAGCAAATAAAGGTCATAAGATATAGAAGAATTCTGAAAAAATATTGAAATATAACTGGTTAGCTGAAAATCTAAAGATATGTAATTTTTGGAGATCACATATTGCTATACATACATTATCCTATAAAAAAAAATTCTATTTAAAATATATTTAAAATAGAAATAATGTATTTACCGCATCCTGCATTACAAATTTATATATATTTGTATGTTTATCATTTGCCATTTTAAGGGGGTGCGGTGTATAAACTAAAGATCGACATAAACAATTTACAAAAAAGGAAGGATGCGTTGTAACGCAGGGTGCAGTAAATAAATTCACTCTTTAAAATATATTTAATTTTCTTATTTTATACTTAAAATATACAGTCTAACCTCAATATACTGATATTCAATATACTGATATACTATTAAAAACTTGTTATACTGATAAAATTTTATTTTTCACTATATGTAAGGATATATAAATATCGGTATAACTTTGATATAACGATATTTTCTAAAAATTTCATATATGTTCTGATCAGTGTTCGGCAAATGACTTGAAATGACCAAATGATTCAAATGACAAATGACAAATGACATGTTATTTTAATGTTCAAATGACACATGATCTTGGTCATTTGAATGTAATTTTGGCCAGCATTATGATTTTTGCCTACACTACATTCATTATTTTTTAATTATAGTCACATGATTATTTATGTGATAAATATTAGCCAATCAAAATCAAATGATTGAAATGACCAAATGACAAATAATTATGAATAATGACAAATAATTTCATAAATCATTTAAATGGTCAAATGATCAGGTTATTTCTAAACACTGGTTCTGGCATATTGTTATATAAAAGTTTAACTGTACTAAAAATTGAATTTAAATAAATTTTAAAAAATTAATAGTAACTAAATATTATATTACTGATTGGTTAATAGTCACATAATGTATTTGTAGAAAGTATACACTATACAGAATTCATAATTGTAAAATATAGAAGGAATACATTTAGCTTTAAGTCTTAAGCTTAAAATTAAATTGCTATAGAGTATATATAAGAATGTATACTTATAGAGAGGGTATTTATAGAAGTATATATTACTATACAGTCAACCTTTGTTATAACGAACTCTAGGATCCAGACCTTAACTTCGCTATAAGACTACTATAGTGAAGATTTTAAGAGATTTGATTGGTTAATTTGTTATAGCGAGGGGAAATTTATTATAATTGTCTGAAAAATTCACTATATCAAAGGTTCGCTATATCAAGGTTTGACTGTAGTCATTTTTAATTAAATCATTAGATATATAATTAAACTTTAATATAATAATATATTGGAATCCATATAAAAAATTGGATACTTTAAAATATTAATGATATATATTATTAAAAGATAATTTGAAAAAAGTCTTTGTAAATTATTTTAATATTGAGTTGAATAAGATAGGATTCTGTAAATTAGTATATTTATTATGTGTATTTTCCTCTGCTCTGCAGGTTTACTTAAAACATCAAAGATAGTTTTAAATGTTATTTTTGACTTATTTAACAAAACTTTTTTTCAGGTTTCTTTTATTAATTCACATATCCTTTTTTGAAATAAAGGCAGGATTTAAACATTACATATGGGGCAAAATCTAAATTTATTAGTAAAATATTTTTGCAAAAAATAACTAAATAGTGAATGGTTATTTAATTTAATTTATGAGTATTGCTAATCTTAACCAGGGGGATAATTCCTCCCCCCCTTAAGAATTTAAAAAAAATAAACTTTTTTTATGAAATATATAAAATAAATACAGTATAATTGGATATTAATTGCATAAAAATTTGGCAATTCTTGGTTTTAAAAAAAATTTTTATCATGAAAAATACAATTTAACTATAAAAATCAAAATTATGTACTTTTCACAAAAACCATATGAACAACTACCTTTTTTAACTTAATAAAACCTTTTCTTCTCATAAATTTACATATAATCTTATAATATTTTAATTAAAAATTGAAATAAAGGGAGAGGGGAGGAAAATTCCCCCAGGTTAAGTTTAGTAATTCTCTTAATTTATTATTCTAATTTATTAATTTATATATAAAATTTTTACATGTTAAAGGAAAAAATACATATAACTGAAATGATTATTTGATTCTAGTTAAAAATTGGGTTAATTTTTATGGACCTTATTAATTACTCCGCAATATCTTTTAGTTAATTCATTTATATTCCCAATAATTACCGTATGTGGATCCCATTCAAATCTAATTGGCACAAACAAATTCTTCCGACATTTTATGAAATTTTCAACTCCTTTACAAGAAACAGTCCAGCCTTTACCTACTATTAGTTTTCTCAAAGCTACGGGTTGTTTTCTTGTAAGTTCTCTTAGTATATTGTCAAAACTTTTCAAGTCTTTATTTGAAGTGAAGGAATTATAGTTGTTGCATTGAAAATGTAATTTCTGAAGACTTTTACAAGAATCTAAAAATATCCATAATGCTACTACATCATTTGATCCAATAGGTCCTTCATAAGAAACAAGATTTCTATTATTTTTAGCTAAAGAGTTTATCCATGTCATTGAATAATCAGGGTCATGCAATTTACACCCTTGAATTTTAAGATGCGTTAATTCTTTGGAATTTTTTATAAATTTGCAAAGATTTTTCAAATAAGTTTCTGAAAATAAAGAAATAATAAAAAAATTTTTTAGCTTTTTTAAGGAAATCTCTGATAAATCTTGAAAATTTTTTTGGGAAATATCTCCCACATAATTTGTAATATACAATTCCTCTAGATTTTCAAAGTAATTCAATTCCTTTAGAGATGATAAATGAATGTTTTTTAACGTAAGTTGAGTTACAGTTTTAGCCTTATATAATAACGCACTAAATATTTCATTATCCCAAGTATATTCATTTTTTGTTTCATGCCGATTTAGTCTTATAGAAGGCGTATCAACAAGTGTGAGCGATTTTATATTGATTTGATTATTAATTAATCTAGCTGTATATTTAATATCCTGAGATGGACAAATTTCCAATGTATTAATTTTATAACAAATTGTTGAAAGAATTTCAAATAATCTTGGCATCGTTGTCCATATTTTACCAAATGTGAAGATTTTGACATTGGCTAAAGAAATTTTTGCGCTAGGCACATTTCTTATAGCAGATGTTAAAGATCCTGAAGTATAATTTTCGCTATTGACGTTTAACCCATATATTGTTGGTGTTGATCTAAGAATATGTTCTAATAATATTTGACTGATAATTGTAACTTTTTTTCGTAAGTCCGGACTATCTTCATTAATATAATATCCTGCATTGTGTTGAACCCACTTTGTTAAATGCCATTCCAAGCTACGAATTCTTATATGTCTTACAAATTTGGCATAGTTGAATAATGTTTTTCTAGGCATTATAAGGATACCAATCTTCCTTTCAATTGTATTTAAATGATATTGTGGTAATGATTCAAGAAATATTGAAATCATTTGAATTTTTTCATTACCTGGTAATTGAAAGCTTTTTTTATATCTCCAGGAATCACGCCATAAGATGCTCGTTGCAATTTTACACCATTCTCTATTAACTAATGCACAAGCAAATAAAGTAGCAGGATCATTGTCAAGGAACTCCAATATATTTATAATACAATCAAGATTAAGTAAGGATGAATGACATATTAATCTGCCTTGGTTGAATCTTTATAATTACAACAATTAAGAACTTTGATAAAACGAAAAGGTTTGAAATAAATAAAATTCCAAAGAAATAATTATAATAATTACCTCTCAAGATACCATGGAACATGCGTGGTTTTAAGCAACATCATTTTTTGTGGTCTAATTCTAACAATCATGTCTTGAAGTGTGTAAATCATAGAATGATCAAGAGTTATCTTTGAATCTAAAATTGGTGCGTCAACTTGAATTGCACTCATTCTTGATAATTGCATCTGAGAAGAAATTTTGAAATTTATACTTAATATAAAGATATTTAAGAAATTTTTTTATTGATGAAAAAAATAAGAGAGGTTCGCTAAGAAATTTTTTTTATATTTCAGCACTACCACGTGATGCAGCAGCATGCATCAATGCATCTGCAGTAATCATGCGACCACAAAGTGGGCTGACGCCTGAGAAATTAAAAGTTTGGAAAGGTTTCAAAATATGATTGATTGGCTTGTAATGATCTCGTATGTTATTTATTTGAATATTAAAACTTCTAAACATTCTTGTCCAGTGAATAGGTTTTGTTCTGCATAAGCTATCACTAAAACGAATAGAAAGAAATGTTAGTAGAAAACAATATAATTAACAGAGAAAAAAAAAATTTCCTTAAGTCCAGTCTTTCTATATACCCTTGTCTTTTTACTTTCATCGCCCTTTAATTTCTTTTCTTACTCCTAAATGGTTTGGTTTTGGCTTTTTATTAACCATTCCTTGAACTTTCTATTAAAAAAAAAATTATTTCTAAAAGATACATTTAATCCTCCATGAAGAAGCCCATGACGCTGGCATCCTAGATAAAAAGAAAAAAAAAATTTCATGATTTGTAGATTTCTGGATAATCTGATTTATATATAATAATAATAATATTTATAATAATATTTATAGCTTTGTAATACATTTATATTAATATTTTGTTAATAATAAATTCTATATCTGTTGAGTAATTTTATTACTTTTCTAAGATATAACGTCAACAGTCAATATTTTTAGCCAAGCCAGTTTCAAATAAAATTACTTTCATTACAATTTGGTGACAGTAATGCATCAGATGGTGATATAAGAAAATTCGTGACATTCTTTAAATTTTTAAAATTTTTATGTCGAAAAGATTCGGGTCGTTGCCAGTTATTATTTGCTTAATCTCCTTGTTAGAGTGTTTGAACTTGCCATTGCGAGGTTCGTAGTTACAAGCATTTTTTTTTTTCTTGATTAATTCAAATACACTATTTCGATTTAAAATCGCGTGAATATTATTATATAATTGTTTAGCGGTAAATCCGCAGTTACTACGTAAATTTAAAAAAAAATTTATTACTCTAAAAATAAATTTAATAAATGATAAAAATTTATATAATAATTTCTGATTTACTACTTTAACGCTCTTAATTAATCGGATTTTAATTTTCCTTCAAATAAAGAAGCTATACTATTAACAATAAAACTAACTACTGACCAACCAGTCCAAATTATGGACCCAATTATACTAAATAATAAAATTAATACAACTCCATAAACATCTAAATATTTTCCTCTAATAAATCCCATTCTCGAATCAGGTGTAATCCATTCTTTTAATAACCATTCATATATATCTTCTATTGCAGGTTCAATAGATTCAGAATTAGTTTCATTACTTACTTTTTCTGAAGATTCTTTTCCTTCTTTCATATGTCTATTATCAACAACACTTTCTTTCACATCATTGTTGTTTGGATTTAATTGAGAAGCTTTCATAACAAATTCAATTAAATCGGCAGCTCTATATTTTCGTTTACTATTAATTTTTGTTAATATCTGCATTCTTTTTAAATTAATTTTAACTCTGGATTCTAATTGTAAAAATTCGATTTTTCTTACAATATCGTCTACGTGTAAATCCATTTTATCCAATTTAAGTGCAACACCTTGTTCTTCTAACTTTTCAGCATTAGAAAATTGATCTGAAGCTAATGGTAATATTAACATAGGTTTGCCTACATATAATGATTCATGACAACTTGCTACTCCTCCGTGTGTTAAAAATATTTTTGTATTTGAATGATTTAATATGGATACTTGCGGTGTTAATTCTTCTAATGATGAAGATGTAGTAACATAAATATGAGTATAACGATTATTGAGAATTTCTGACGTTTCTAATTGTGTGTCATCTGACAGCGTTGGGAAATTTTCAAGACCTGATAATGACCAAACAATTCCATCTATAATATTTCTGTCTATAACTTCTAAAAATGATTTTAACAATATTGCATAATTTTCCAGTGTCGTGAAAGCTTGCATACCGAATGATACATACATAATTCTCTGATGTAATGACAAGAATGATGAAAGTTTTGGTGTTAATGGTGGGTATGATTCTTGCATCACTGGCCCAATTTCCTAATTAAATTTTCATTTGGAAGTGCATTAAAAACTTGAAATGAAGTATTAATGATATACTTAAGAAAGAACGCTTACTTGATAAAGTGGAGGTACAGGATGTGGAATCTAAAAAAAAAATATATATGTATATATAATATTTTCTATCAATTAATGCACTTGTTATCGAATTAACATTCAAATTTCCTCCTTCCTTTCTTCATTTCGTACCTCAAAACCAAAGTAAGTATCAGCCAAGAATAAAGAATTTTTAATTCTTTCTAAAGAACTAGTTATAGGAGATACACCAACCGAAAGTCTTTTTTCATTTAAAAAAATAATTCTCTGTCTAGATTCATAAAGAAATCTGGCGGGTTGTATGATTAAACATTTAAATCTCTCGATAAATGATCCTTTTTCCATATTCGAATGACATCCATAAATTGGATCTGATTTGTACGGTGCAAATGTTCGCCCTAAAATAAAAACGTTTTGTTTAAAGAAGTAGTTACGAGTTTCTTTCCTTCTTTCTTTTATAAAAAAAACCTTAAAAACAAATACTTACTGCTTAATGAACTGCTAACACCAACTGCTGGTATTTTAAATTTCCATGCAATATCAAAACAAGCTTCGTTATTTAATAAATCACATAAAAATAAATCTGGTTTAAAATCTATCGTAGATCGTTTATAAACTTCAAATCTTTCTGAATATTGTTTATCCGCTTCATCTTTTTCCAAGAAAAATGAATTATAATCGTATGGTTTTTCATATATTTCTTTATATATGTGTAATAATTCTTTTGTATTATGTTCCGGTCCAGTGGAATATTGTCTTATCGATGGATAATTTGTGGGTGACGTAAAATTTCCTGGTGCAACTAAAGCTACCTACATAATTTGAAAAAAAAAGAAGAATGAAAAGTTTATCAATGCTATTTATAAACCAGAGAATAATTTTACCTTATATCCGCGCTCTATCAAAATCTTACAAATTTCCAATGATGGCCTAAGATGACTTAACCCTACACGAAAACAAACATTTAAAACAGAATAAACGAATAGCAGCATACTCAAGTGTTTGTATTGTTTACCTCCAACAAATGATCCAACAAGTATATTTTTTGTTTCATTAATATTTTTATCAATTTCAAATTTACCAAATTTATTAGGATCGGGTTGTTTTTTAGTAAAAATATTTTTAAAAATACTCCACAAAGAAGCCGTTTCTGTCGGATTTCGTGATGCTGTTGATTGTGTTTTTGATGAATCAGCTTGATTTATTTTATCTGATGACGATGCATTTATCCCAATGACAATTAAATGAAATAAAATAATTGTCAATAATAAATAATATTTTGACGGGCGATTTGAAAAATTTAATAAAGTCATTATTTCACTTTTTAATTTTTAGAAAAAGAAAAAAAAAATATAATAATAACGGAAGCATGCATTTAAAGCATTTATATTTTACCAAATTGACACGTTACACTGAAAATTCGGCTCTTGTTGCACAATTAAATTAGAGATCGCCACCTTATGATATAAATCTATACTAGACCAATAAGACCAAATATCTGAATTTAAATCATAATCTTTGAATAATTCTTCTAATAGATACATTTCTTCAATTTGTCTACAAGAGTGATAGTAATCTTGCTTTCAACTTGTTCTGATACAACTTAGGGTAAGTTCATGTTGTATACGACTAAAATTCATTAATTCGTTTAATTTACATTTTCTCTCTGACAGCAAAAAACTTTTTTCATCGTTTGACTTCAAAGTGCAATATTCAGATTGAATTTCATATACATGAGATATCCAATAACTTTTTTTACTTTCATCCCAAGGATTACCCTCATTCCAAGGATCTTCATGAAATACCGGTGGAATTACATTAATCAGTTCAGGGGCAACTATCCATTTTTGTTCCAGTTCTTTCTTGGAGATGACTAGCAAAAGTAAACAAGATTCACATAAGCGAACTCTTGGAATCCAATAAATGCAGATTCTAACATTTTTATTCCAGCAATTTTGGCATCCGTTTTCGATACACAAAAGTTTGGTAAATTCTCGATTTGACATGTCTTCGGGACATTTCATACTTCCAAATGGCGTAAAGTCTATCCGAGATTGTTCCCACAAGCACGAAATAGAATATCTTTCTGAACACAATAATGCATTAAATTTTTTACATACACATGACAATTTGAGAAGATTATACGGATTTAAATATCTACAAATTCTTAAGAAGATCTTTAGACCCGATTCATATTCATCGGTTCCAGGAAGTGGATCAATGATTATTTTTGCAAAGCTTGAAGACATGTTATTTTGGCTGTTATTGAAAAAAATTTGATTAAAATAATATTTCATAAATGAATTATAATCAAATAAAGAAAAATTAAAACCTGAATGACAAACCGACTTAATTTATAATCATGGCTTAGTCGGTTTGATCACCGGGAAACTTACAAATTGTACGGCATATTATCCGGGGGTCCTATAGCTCTACAGCACGTGTAACGCGTGCGTTATTTGTCAAAAAAATTTGAAAGCATTTTTTTAAAAATTTTTAGAAACATGCCATTAAATTTAAGGATTTTTGTTTTATTTCATGATTATTTTTTTTTAATATTATGTTTAACTATTTTTGCTATAACACCAGTAGTTCAAGCGGCAGATGTTAGATCATTTTGTAAATGCGTTTGTGATCAAAATTCAACAATTGTTCCTTTAAGAATAAATCAAACATGTTCTGATTGTAATTTAGCTTTTTGTAAAGAAAATACTTCAAAAGAGGATTGTGATATTCCTACGTGTTTTCGTAAGTGTAATTTTTTTCTAAAATTTGGTTTTATTCTTGATGATTTATTTCGTTATTCTTTATAGAACGAGATTCTTACAAGGATGAAGTTATTGTATATTTCTATATTATTATAACGAGTGGATTACTTCTAATAGCTCTTACAAAACCTTATATAGAAAGATGGTGGAGAGTAAGTCTTTTTTTTTATACTGTAATTTTTTTTAAAGAAATTACTAATTATCAGATTAATTATTAATTATGATCTGACGATGGGATAGAGGACAAATCCACCACATACTTACACTTCAATGCCGAATAGTTAGAAATTTTTTTTAATTAAGTGTTTTTAGTTTATCCTTGAAAAAATTTTTATATTAGTTATATTAGTTAAAAATTTTAAATCCATTATAAGGAATCCGTTTTCCTTATGCAAACTCTAATAATAAAATGCACAGAGTTTATTGCATAAATGAACTAATATTCATTCATCTATCTAATATTTCAAACAAATTTCTAAACTATCTATGTTTGAGAGTATAAGCACGTGTGATGTTCATAATAGTGGTGAAAACCGATGTAATTAGGTCGTTTTATTAAGTATGAATTGAGGTATTTGAAGGTGAAAGTTGACTTTCTTCATCAAATTTGACATATTTATTACTATCAGCATTTCTCTGGCACCATCTATCAGAATACTACTCAATCTTCCACCACAATAGACCGAGACAAATTATTAAAGAAGTCATTTTCCATGTTTTCGGTAATAATTGTAATTTATACCAAATATAAGACTGAATAACTGACCACCAAATGCTGGTGCCTTTATATGTATTAATTATCGGAAAGACAAATTAGTACGAGAGTATAAAAGCAGATGATAATTTATGCTCAACTTACTTCCCTAAAAATATAAAGGGTACGTTAAGTTAACCATGCTTCATTAATTAATACATGATAAAATAAATGAATGATCAATTTCAAATCTTGTCGCGCAGAACCATTCAGTTGGAGCAATATCAAACATTGTACCACATTCTAACCCAATTCATACACTAGCAATCCATAAATTCTTCGCTCTAAACCTGCTAACATTTGAACTGCAAATAACATTGGTCTTGACAAAGCAAGAAACTATAACCTTTGAATAATAATACAATCTTACAATACGAGAAAATATCGAAAATAAGGAAATGTGTAAGTTTTGCAATGTTTGTGTAATTCAATGATGGTGTTTGATGGTGAATATGTAGCGATGAACATAAAAGTTTTAATAACAGTTTGATATACATTAAACCTGTACCACTAATGAAGAATAATATAAGAAATAATAATCTTTATCTTGAGCTAGGTCATATCTACCTATATCATTTTCTTCATGATGTTGAACGGCAATGTCATTAACTCTTGCTTCTGGTAATAAAGATGCTTGTTCATTTGGCTGTAGCTCTTACTGTCGCAACAATTTCTTCACGTGGTGGCGGTAAAACTACGTCAAGCCAATTTCCAATGAATTGACCTAAACCTGTTACAATTGCCAGGAAAACTAAAAAATGATCACCGTTTCCTCTATATATCATATATTGATTCGCGAAAAAGTGAACGAAGAAAGCCTAATGTTGCACTTAACGATGCGCTGATGTTATTTCAAGATTTCTCGTCTTAATAAAAGAAAAGATTAAATTAACTTTGTGCACTAATCGAAAATTAATAATCGAGAAAAATTACATTGCTTACAACGGTTGTAAGAGACCTAAAATATGTCAATTGATTATAATCTTAAAACGATCGATATAAAAAGAGATAATATAGACGCAATTCCCACAAAAAATAAATAAAGAGCACAAATCAAGAAAGATGGTGAAGGTAGCAAGCCATTGTACGTTAGCGCAATACATAGAACATCATAAAGGAAGACACCAAACACCCTAAAATTAAGAAAAAATTTTATTTAAAGTTGTATCTTTTTTGCATTAATCTTTGTTAAATTTTATTTCATCTGTTTGAAAGAACCACTAAGATAGATCCGTAATTTGCTGCGCTTCCGATAATATTTAATTCTACAGAATTAAATTCTAGTTTACCCACCAATTCTGTAGAATAAGCACCAAACAGATACGATGTGCCACTAACTGCGCAAATTATTAATGCACTAATATATGATGAATTTATTTTTATACTTTGGGTAAAAACTAATGTAACTATCACGGAATCGCGTAAGGTCATATATGAATGATATCATAGGATAACAATAAAATTAAAAAAGTGATAAATACTGTAATTTTTTTTAATCAATAATGAATTTTAATTTTAAACATTAATTACTTTAATTTATAGAAATATTCAAATTTTTAATAAACCATGATTAGCAAAAATTTTTAACGTTTCAGCACAAGTGACTACTACGGATTCCACCTTCCCTTCTTCCACCAATTCCAACATACGTTTGTGTAAATCGGCTTTAACCAATAATTCTGCCTTGTCTTTATCAATACTAGCGATATTTTTCAAACATTCGATTGCTCTATGCTGAATTTCAGGAGAATTTTCATTTAATAAATCTTTAAGAATTTGAATTCCTTTTGGTCTATCCAGGATCATCTTACATACATTGGGATTAGTTGAGAGAATGGCCAAAGCACCCGAAGCGGCTCTTCTCGTTTCAAAATCATCAGTATCAGAAAAGGCAACGAGAATGGTAATTTTATTAATTGATGATTGAGGATCACTATATAATTCATAAACAGGATCACAAAACATCATATTACATAAACATTCTGTTGCCGCTCTACGAACCAAAGTATTATCAGAGAATTGTGAATTTTCAATAATCGGAATCCCTTTTAAATCATAAATACGCATCCTAATATCATTTTCCACGCTACTTAAATTGGTTAATGCCATCAAAGATTCAAACTGACATAATTCATTTTCTCCTTGACATAAATTGAGTAAAGGACGAACAAGATCTGAAGATCGTTCACCTCTAAATACCAAACTTGGGTCCATTGTAATAGCAATTTTAGCTAAAGCTTGAGTTGCAAAAACCCTCCCTTCTTTTGTATTACCTTCTTTAATGACTAAAGGAATTAAAACCTTAACTCCACCTTGTTGTACGATAATACCACGATTTGTCTGATCTGTCACTAAATTTAAAAAAATATTCGAAACCAATTGACGTATAATTTGACTTTGATTTTTTGATAATAAATTTAATGTTTGATTTACTCCAAATTTCATTATTTGCTTTATTCGATTTTCAACATATTCATCTTCATTCAGAGGGTTTATTTCGAAACTACTTTCGCCATCGGCAATTTTCTTCAATTTTAATATTTGTCGTTCATTTTCGCTTAATTTTTTCCTATATGACGTAATGTTCGATAATATTACAGCAACTCCATATAATAAATTATTATTCAATTTTTCTTGTTCTTTAACTAACTTAAAAATTTCTTTAAGTAAAGTGGGGTGATATGCGACCATTTCTTTAACCGTGGGTTTTAAACTTGCGTAAGCTAACCCTTCAATAGCGTTGGCTCTAACATCAATTTCTGATCCTTCATTTAATACTAAATTTTGAAATAATCCTGCTAACTCATTTTCATCTTCCTCTTCGCTAACAATTTTCTTCCTTTCTTGATTTCCTTCCCCTGGTAAAATTAATTTATCATCCAACATTAATTTCGTTAATGTAACAGCAGCTAAACTTTTTATTTTTAAATTTTTACTTTTCATTAATTTGCTTAAATATTCTTGACAATTTAATTTTACCAACTTTCTACATTGTACCTGCGAACATGCTATTGATAACATTTCTATAATTGATTCTCTTACTTCTTCCTTATCAAATTCTGCAAATTCCATTAAATCTGTTAATATTCCTCCTTCATCATTATCATCCTTTTCTAAACAACTTTTTCCTATATCATTTTCTCCTAAATTAAATATGGCTGATAATGCTTTAATGCCATTTAATTTCTCTTGTTGTTTTGTCGAATCACTTATCCATTTTATTATTTGTTTTTTTGTAATTTCTTTTAATTCTTTTTTTATCTGATTTTTTTCCAATAATTTTGTCAATATTAATAATGATAACGAAATTATTTTACGAGACTCACTACTACCAAATTGCGATAAAAGATTAATGTAATCTTGCGAATTAATAAATGTTTCGCTAAAATTATCTTCTGCAGAATTCACTTTTTGAAGGATAGAATTAAGATAACTAATTTGTTTTTCTTCCGATGCACTCAAGTCCATATTAGAGTCGAGAAATAAGATTTGCAATACACATGATGATTGATTTATATGTGCTACAACTCGTGACACAGAAATATAAAAAGCAGAGCTTGTCGATCTTTTTTTTTTATGATCATCAAATTCTTTTTTTTTTAAAAAAAAAATGTCTGAAATTAATTCAATTTATGCTCATTTGTTATCACCATCATATAAGCAAGAAATTAGTAATTGGTTGAAAGAAGATGTACCATCATTTGATTATGGAGGATTTGTTGTGGGAGAAGCTCAAGAAGTTGCTATATTATACGGAAAATCCGCGGTAATATTTTACAAACATTTTTTTTTTTAGTTTTTTTTTTGTTCATATTTGTGGCTTATACAGTAAGTATATAGGGAGTTGTGGCTGGTATACCATTCTTTGAAGAAGTTTTCAACCAATTGGAATGCAGGTTTTTAAGTTTGATTATGTAAATGTTGATTCTTCTAATTATAAATTCTAATTTACTTTTTTAATTGGATAGAGTTGAATGGAATTTAAAAGAAGGAGAAGAATTTGAACCAATAAAAGAAGTTGCCCGTGTTTATGGTAGGGCATGCAACATTTTATTGGGAGAACGTACTGCATTAAATATTTTGGCTCGTTGTAGTGGTATTGCTACTAGGTATATCATTATTTAGGAAAATAAAGGTAAATATTTATTTATATAATTGATGAAGTTATTCTATGTAGGAGTAAGAAGTGTATTAAATTAAAGGAAAAATGTGATTTTCGAGGTGTAATTGCTGGGACAAGAAAAACAACTCCCGGTAATGTTTTTTTAGAAAGTTAGTCAAATTATGTACATAAATGTATGTATGTATATTTAAATTACTTATGTAACAAATTTAAAGGGTTTCGAATTGTTGAAAAATATGGAATGCTTGTTGGAGGAGCTGATACTCATCGAATGGATTTGTCATCGATGATAATGTTAAAAGATAATCATATTTGGAGTCAGGGTTCTATAAAAAAGGCTATTGGACGTGCAAGAAAAATAGGAGGATTTTCGCTAAAAATAGAAGTAGAATGTCTTAGTGAGCAAGAAGCTGATGAAGCCATCGAAGCTGGTGCCGATATTATTATGTTGGATAATATGAAAGGCGATATGTTAAAACAAACTGCTAAAACATTGAAGCAGAGATGGGCAGGAAAAAGAGCTTTTTTGATTGAATCAAGTGGTGGAATTTCCGAAGAGAATATAGTCGAATACTTTTCACCCGGTAAGTCATTTGTAAGATCTTTGTGGAATGAAGAAATTATGTATAATTTTTTTTTTTTAATAGATATTGATATTTTGAGCATGGGTAGTCTGTCTCAAGGTGTTCCTCATGTAGATTTTTCTTTGAAAATTAAAAAATGACATTTAAGCGTTATCACCAACTTTTAATTAGTATAAAGAAGTCTCTAAACTTCCTGCAAAATTTTAACGTTAATGAAAATATTCATTTATAATAATGTATTATATAATTTCTTTATCGATAAATAACACTGGTATTTATCATGTGACTATATGTCACAAATCGAATGTTTTCTTTAGCTATTCAAGAAACCATAATACCTTCCAGAGAAATATTTCAGGCGATTTTTTTTACAGTTTCCTACTTTCCGAAATTATTATATTGAATTCCTGTAGTCGTTAATGATAATGTATTTCTCTGTAATAAAATAAAGAAACCATAATACCAAAGATAAATGCTACTGTATTACAAGAAGTTTGGCACTCCCTTATTATATGATCATATTATTATAGTATTTTATCATAACAGATAATATGACTTTAATAAATTTGTAAGTCATATAAAAGATTAATTATAAAATATGGCTTTCATCTATATTTCTAAATTAATTTTAATTTTATATAAATTTTACTTAAATTACCAATAAAAAATTTAATTATTAGTTATATTATATGAAAATTTTTATTTCAAACCAGGGGATACCAGTATTTTTCTTCAAATTTTTAAAAAATATTCACATTCCAATTTTAAGAATTTTTTACAAAATTATTATTATAAACATCTTAAATAAAATATTAATTAAAAGCAAATAAAAGCAAATTGATAAAATAACAAGTAAAAATAAACTAAACATAAATCTTTAGATTTTATTAATTGTATTTTTTCAGTCAAAATGAGCATTTCCTTCTTTATTATTAAAAAACATACAATTTTGGAAGTTGTGATACCAAGATTCATATATTATATTGCTTCTTTTTGAATTTTCGTCTTAATTATTTCAGTTAAACAAATATTTTTTTGATTTTTGATAAACAATAAATTCAAATTCAATTAAAAGTAAATCAACCAACAAATTTTTAAACTAATATCATTAATCTGTTTTTAAACTATCTAAAAAAAATCAAAAAAAAAATTAAAAGTTAGCAAATAAAGTTTAATATTAAATAATACAATAATAATAATCAATATACTTTAATTCTAATTCTAATTAATCCTAATTTTAAATAATACTAATTAGCATATTTTACTATAAATATATTTAAAATATAACTCATACATCAGAAAATTAGTTTAGGCGTAATTTAGTGTAATATTTTGGAGGTGGTGTAAAATTTCAAAATATTACACTAAAAACGTAATATTACAAAAGTTTACGCTCTTAAATTTGAATAATTATAGTAATTTAAAAATCTCTCGCTATCTACTGATCCAATCAAAATGACCTATAGCTCATTGGAATTAGCTCATCAAGATGAATCGAATGGTAGTAAAAATCACATCTTTACGTTCAATAGATGACTTTCTATTAATTTAAAACTTTATTGCATACTATAAAGCGTTCTATCAACTGTAGAAATGTGATTTTACTACCATTCAATTCATCTTGATGAGCTGATTCCAATGAGCTATAGATCGTCTTGATTGGATCAGTATAGGGATTGGAATCGATTAATCAAAAATCGACAAAACATAGTAAAATCGATTCTTGAGAATCGATTCTCAGCAATTTTTTACATATAAGTTAATCTGACTTCAAAGTAATTCTTCATACTGGCCAAGTGCTGATTATTTTTGCTGAAATTAGAAACTGATTCAAAGTCAGGTTGGTCGTCTATAAGAAAAATCTTGAAAAGATTCGATTTTCGATTCCAATCCCTAGATCAGTAGATAGCAAAATATTCTTAAATTACTATAATTATTTAAATTTAAGAGCGTAAACTTTTGTAATATTACGTTTTTATTTACTTTGAACTAATTAGTCAGAACCCTGAACAATACTGATACAACTTACATTTGAGTTTGCATAGAGTTTATATTAAAATTTTTCAAAAGTTGCATATTACAAAGGTATTTTCAAAATTTCGTTATCCTACATTCTTCTATTTTAACACAACCAGTGATTCAATTTTAATAAAATTTATATTTATTAGATTTATCTTAATAAAAGGATTCTAATAATAGTAAAATCAAATTTCTAGCTTTAATATTGACAGAATTATGTTATAAAATGTATTTTTACTTCAGTACTTAAAGTTTACTTATGAGTTATATTAGTATTATTCAGGGTCCTACTAGTTAGTCATGCCCAGAAAAGATATAATTTCTTTGGTTTGACTGAAAAAGATATTGCTTGAACCATTGAAAAAAGTACTGGTAATGGCGAACTGTATACTAACTTACTTATTGAACATTAGGAAGCCCTCTCAACCTTTGATATTGGTAATTTACAATCTTTATATCACTTTCTCTTTCTTTTTTATGAGTCTTTTGACTTTATCCAAGCTAACGTTAGTAAAGAAATAAAAAGCACTTGCAAAGAGTTTGTGAAATAACAGATGACATCACCAAAATAAATATCAGATATGTCTGAATTTATAAAGAATCAAAATCTAAATAAAAAACTTAACGTTTATAACTCGTAATCAACTAATAGCAATAAAAATTTTAGAAACACTTAAAATGCTCAAATACCAATTAAAAGCTGTAGCACAACAAAAGGAACCAATTAGTATCCTCTCAGCAAAAGCCACTTCTTTTACACCCAAAGGTAAACAAAAGCAAGTTTCATATGCTAATATAGTTAAACAGGACCCAAAAGATAATGTCAGCAGACCAAACTCACCTTTACCTTTTGTGAAAAAAAAGAGAAAAACTGTACTCGTTTTCAAAGCTAATAATAGCAAAAGTTTTTCTAAAACTACCAAAAAATAACCTGCTACAACTTCACCCAAAACAATTAGTACCATAATGACTGGATATATACCTGTGAATAAAGATTTTGTCCAGAAAATTACAGTTTATGATATTCCCTCCACCTGGTTTTAACTTGATACACTTAATCATTTTAAAGCCTGGGGTCAAGTAGTTGCAATTAAATTTAAATTGCAACAGAAATACATTATTGTTACAATATCAATTGAACTCAATCAAGAGGCTACAAGACTTTGGAATGATGAAGTATAGACTGCTCCACTTGGAGGTTTACCTGTATGATAGTTTCTAGCTAACTGGGATTTCAAGCAAAGAAAAGAATAGGAACAATTTCAGGCTATACTTATTAAAGGAGTTACTGCTTCAGTAATTACAGCTACTTTATATCTAAATAACCCTACTCATTCTATTTTTGCACTTGTAGGGTGCAAAGCATTTAAATTAATTCAAAATCAGACATCTGCAAGTTAATAATTTACTTCGAATTATGGGTTGACTTGGAAAAGATCATTGATAAGCCATTTAGCTTGAACGAATATACTGGTGATTGGACAAGATACTTTATCCCTAACTTGAAGCAAAGAAGGAGATACCCTCAGAAGGTGAATCAAAAAGGTGGCTCCAAAGTTTGAACAATTAATACTAATACTCAATCGAGTAAAAAGCATAAGGTGACTAAGAAAATCAAGAATATAGATAAGATTTTAGGCGGTATTGACAAGCTTACTATATTAGCAGAAATAAGGTCAATGCTTAGAAAACTAAGAGCGTCTTGATAAGTTCAAAAGAATGTTCAGATAATCTTAATTTTAAAAGTGTAGTTATTATGTGAAATTCTTTTTTTTTGTTTTATTTTTTCCTGCATCTTGTTTTTTTTTTGGCTTATAAGTGTATTTGCACCAGGTTTATTAATACATTCTCATTGCACTGCAGGGGTAGTTGATCTATTTACTGTATTCTCATGAAGTGTAACTCCTATATTGTATGATTCTAAGTGTCAAAATTAATAAACTTTAAATGTTAAAAAAAAAACATATTTTAAAAAAAATTATTTATAAAAATATAATAATATAAAAATAATATTTACTAATATAAATATAAAAAAAATAAAAAAAAAAATAAAATATAAAATAAAATGGAATAATAATAATTTGTTTAAATATAAAAGTATAAAAAGTTTATCTTATATATTATAAATTAATTATAATTTATATAATAAAAAGAAAAAAGTAGGTCCCATGATCACCCTTGCATTGACTACAGGGCCCTGGGCTAAGAAAACATATTCCACATATGTTTACCTGTATAGCATAATAGATCATTCGATAGTGCACGCGTGGGGTATTTTAATAATATGACGAGCGGTTTATAAATTAATAATATTAATTTAATTAGGTAGTTTCTGTCTCTTATACACATCTAGATGTGTATAAGAGACAGATTCATAATATACCTAGGTAAAGAACTAAATAATTATGCTAATATTATTAATTTGTAAACCATTCATCATTCCTTTATAAAACTCCACATATACTATCGGGTGGTCATGGTGACTAATCAGGTAGGTGATACCATTTTAGTGTGTAGCCATGATATCTTTATTTAGTAGACCACAAAGCCCACTTAAATATAATATTTTATTAAAATTTAGCTTTAATATATTAATATTTACTTATATTTTATTATATTAATTTTTTTCATAAAAAAATTAATATGATGCTAAAAGTCTATACTTAACAATAAAAATGTAACATTTAAAAATCTTTTAACTCTTTAAAAAAATACAATTTAAAAAAAATAAACTGGTAACATTATTTTTTAAGATAAACTTTATTAAATTACTAATCAGATTTTTTAAAAAAAATCTATATAAAAAAATATAAACACTTGAAATTGCATAATTTTTATATAATTAGCTCAAATTTAAAACAAAATATATTGACCAAAACTTATAATAATTTAGGTTAACTTTATATATTATAATAATACCAGTCCAAATTATTTTAATTTGAATTAAACGTAATTTTTTTTTAAAAAAAAAAATTTTATTAATATATAACTTTTATAAAATAAAATTACAGTCAACTCCCTCTATAGTCACTCCTGTTATAGTCACATTCTACTATATAGTCACACCAGTTGAATGTTCAAAACACTTTATTATTAAAATCTATCCTATATAGTCACAATCTATCTATAATCACTATCACACCTATCCTCAAAAATCTTATTAAAAAAAACCATTTATAATCACAGTTATATAAAGAATATATTAAATAACTTGGCATCTAATAATCGTACAAAGATGTACCATAGCTTGTTAGAATTATCTCACTGAGGTGAATCGAATGGTGGTAGTTTTATCCTTTTGCGATCACTGGCTGATGAGTTATTCAACAAAATGTTAAGCATCAGCATTATTATATTTCTTAATTTACGTTTACTGCGCCATTTAACATTTTACTAAATTTTTCGGTACCTAGTGATTGTAAAAAAATGATTACCGTATTCTTCTATTTT